TTAACGTTATTATTACGTGAGTATATATTGTTTTTGTTAGTAGTAGGTTAGTAGTAAGTAGTTACTAAACGACGACATTAATTACTTTGTACGACCTATAGTATATATATATATATATATATATATATATATTAGGTCGTCAAAAAAATATCTTAAATATCCCAAATTTTCTACCCTAAAATTCTTAATGAATAATGAGATTTTAACTTTTATCAAAATATAAATTTATACGCTAGAATAAAAATTATCTAAAAGCTCCTTTTCTTGATTTTTGAATTGAGTAATTTCAGCCTTCCTTTTTTCTATTTACTACTTCATCTTGTTATGTACCTTTCATGATCGAAAGTGGAGAAATTATTTTTATTATATAATTAAATTAATGCAACCAATAATTTTGAAAAGATGTACATATTTTCAACCGTTGTTTTGAAACACCATAGTACTATTTTTTATTATGCTTATGGAGTATAGTGAATCAGTTGAGCTATTTTTTATTATGCTTATGGAGTATAGTGAATCAGTTGAATCGACTACTATCTGCAATTTCTAAACACGTAGTCGACTACCGTTGTTTGATGATTTACTATATTGACCGTGACCATTCATCAGAAGTCCTTGAAGTGATCTTAAACTGGCTGTATTACGCTGGTTCTCTACATTCTTAGCTATGTTAGTAAATGCTGGAATGATTTCGAAAAAAGTTTTGACCGGATTGGTGGCGCTTTATACTACTACTCTCGCAGGGAAATTACATCTGACATATTGATGCTCCTAAAAAATTACGCACCGTTTGCTGTTTCTATATACGATCTTTCACTGCGAAGAAGGTCTTTAGACGAAGTTGAAATCTGAACCTGTTCGTAAAAGTACTGAAGGATAACTAGCATGTAACATTGCATTAACATTTTTTCTTCTAGTTTTGAAACTATGCTGCCCTAAGTACGACAACACAACTCTAAACGATAATTAGAACACATATTTTGTTTCAGTATCGTTGATCAGTATTTTGATTAAATTAAAGTTAATTCAGTAGTTTCTGTTTACCGTTGTACGTTTTATGCAATAAAATCTGAATGTGATTGACTTTGATTCTGATGGTATAAAAATGTTTAGTTGCATATATAATCCTGCAAGTGTAGGTTTGTGATATCGATTACGCCTAAATTGGAAGCGTAATATAAGAATATAGAAAAGACAATTCTTCTACATTAAGGTTAATGCTTCTATGATATTAATTCATATATTAAACAAACGGTACTGCAAACATAGACATTTATTTATTAATATCTAATTACATATATTATTACTCAATAATTTTGCAATTTTGGTGGCCATCTTGAATTTATACCAGGAACAAAATCCTTTTTGTCGATTTGTAATACAATTATGTGAATTGTTTGTCTTATAAAACATATGCTTAAGCACCTGAACCTATATTCTAGCTAATATACAAAGAGAAGTATGAGTGTTTATATATGTTTTGCGGCCATCTTGGATTTGTCCGGGTAGAGTTGAGTGGAAAATGGCAGCATGGATTTTGCAATTATATAATAATATTAATGCTGCCAAATTTTAATATACATCACAGACAGGGCCTACACAAGCTCATAGACTATATTCTTTTTTTGCAGCTTAACGACTAACAACAACAAAAAGTACAAAAGAAATTGGTAGGTGTAATACGTCATCACTTTTAGCCGCAAAGGACTGTTTGCAATGTTTATTCAAAAAATCATACAACCAAGCTATTATATTAATGTGGCTTTTAAGTCCTTTTCAATAACCAATATAGTGACTTAAAATAATTTACGTATTTGAATAATATTAGAGCTCGTGCCTAAATCATTATTTCACATTATATATCGGACCAAGTATTTCATGATTACATATATATATATGATATAGATAAATTTTCAATTTCACCAAAGATAAAATTGAAAGGAGAATCTGTGACGTAGAGGCCGAATATTTTTGTTGTTGTTAACTATTTGCCGTACCCTCTGCTGTTGACTGCAGTTTCGCCTATTAAAGGCTCATCAGCACAGCTTGGTCAACAAATCAAAGAAATAAAGTTAGGCCTCTTATAACGGTGATTTGTATACAACATTAATGGGGTTTTTAAGTCCTTTTCAAACACCAATAAAGTAACCTTTGGTGAAATTGAAAAGAAATCTGTAACATTTATGTGTAATCATTAAATATATTTGACGTATAAGCACTATAATAATTATTTATCATTAATTTAATCATAAGTTAACAAATGGCCTCAAATAAACATTTTCATTAGTATTTTACCCCATTAATCTATTATGAAATTTATCGTTAGCTTTTTTTTTCAAATTTCTATCAAGAACGATATTGTAGTGTCAGAATTATACCATTATTTTTGTTTTTACACTTTAATATCTATATTTCTACTGTATAAGTTTACAATTTAGTTTGCCAAAAAAATACCATCGATATTCCAATGAATTCAACTAATTGTTGCTGGAGATTTCTGTGTATTTTAGATAAAAAAAAATGTGTGATATAACCTTATTTTTTATCCAAGTTTTACTCAAAGTGCTATAACGGTAAAAGTATAAAAACGCTAAAAAACCGGGTTTCGAGAACCGTGTTTGGCAAAGCTTTGTGTAGCTTTATGTTTAACTATAAAGAAACGAAGCGTAAATGTGAATAATGTGATGCAAGATCTATACCTTACTCGTTTTTAACGGTGTAAAACATGCCGGTAATTTGGAGAAAGTACAACATGAGTCAAAATTCCTACCAGAACTTCCTTTATATTTCTTCGGTTTGTCACGTCAAGTTTATATGATACGCAGAAGTAAGCAGAATATAATAACCTGCAATTAAGAACACATTCAAAAAAAGATGAAAAGCAAAAGATGTCTTTTCTACTTTTACATTAACTATATTTTCAGCGTCTGTTCATTTACAACCTACATGATTTCAGAACGAAAATGTTTTAATTAAACAAATGGTATCAACATTCATACTTACTATTATAGCATATGTTACAATGAGATGGCGCCACCATTACCACGTCAATTGTTCTCAAGTGGTTTTGCCGCGATCTTCAGTAACCATCCACCTCTATCGTTCAGTGGACAGGCAACTACTTGCGTGTGTGGACATAACACGCTGCTAATTCCCGGATTACTTCCAAGAACATGGTGTGGCTTTGGCTAACATTGCTTTTTGCTGCAGGTAAGCTGATGAGTTAGTTTTATTCATTTTATTTCGCACACTACAAGTGATAACAGTTTTGGACTTTGGACTAGCACTATCATGCTTTGAACAAAAACCTGTTCTACAGGGGCTAATTCGTCTAACAAAGATTAATGATCAACTAAAGTTGTTCAGTTCCAATGATTATATATATTATCGACATGTTTACACGATCAGTTATTTCTACTGTCATTCCTTCGAGCACAAAGTATGTTTCAACTGACAATAAAGTCGAAATCTTGTTCTGTTCAGAGTAAAATAGAAAGAAAAAACAACTTAAAATATAATTGCTACTTATGTGCCTACTTTTACAGTCCTCAGAGGAAATTGGACTAAAAGTGGTTGCCAGCTTCAACATTACAATAAAAATGTAGATACACGAGAGGTAAATGAACTTACCGTAAGTTTTTATAGAACTTGCTTATATATGAGTTTTTCGTTAAAAGTTTATTATGTTCTTATGTTATCGCATGTACAACTATTAATAGAGACGTTTATGTTATGCATTTTTAACATATTCAATGCCCACGATATATATACATGCGTGTGAATCAGCTTCGAAAAAGTAACAATATGAACAAACACCCTGTACATTTTGTGAGTAACCTTTCAATGATTATTACTGGCATTCTAAAAATGTTGGCTATCGTAGATAACGAATGATAAAAAGCACACATTTTAAAAGCGATGTGTTTCACGGGAAAAATGTGTAAGAACACGATATTTAACAAATAATTTAATGATTAATGATTTTAAAATAATGCTAATCTCTTCTCTATTGTTCTTAACTTTTTTAACGCAAACTGGAGTTTATTAAGGTAGATAAAAATGACGACCTATATCTCCAGAATGTATTTTTATCAGCCCAGTATTTTTCTATTGCAACTTCCTTAGGAGCTATCGATATCTTAAAAAGTCACTAATCCATTTGGAGCTAATATCTTTATTATAATATATATTTATTGTTACAGAGTTTAAAAATGGTTCCATAATTATGTATAAAATGAGAATACCTTTTATTCGACTTTATGAATTAAAATATTCATTTTTATCTAAGACCAAGCAGTACAGCAGAAATATGTAATATGATCAAACTCACTTGAATGAAAATTTATGACGTTTTTATTTCGGCATACAAGTTTTTAAGCCAAGGTTCTGGAAGAGTTCAATCGTAATTTATTTTTCTGGCACACTGTGTTACTATATTAAGAAACGAAACAAAGAAACAAAAACGACGTTTTTTTTGGCATAGTGACAAATAAAATCCTTATTAGATATTTCAACTGACTAGTTTCGGTAATACAATTACCATCATCAAGGCTAGTGACTACCGGAACTACTCGGCTAAAATATATGATAACAACTTTATCTATTATTGTGCCAAAAAAAAACGTCTTTTATGTTGTTGTTTTTTAACTTTTGATATAATCAAACATTAATTGTTAAATGTAAAATAACGTATAGTTCGATAAAAATATGTTTGGTACATATTTCTGAACGGATTACAAACAAATTGATGTGAGTGTTATCAAAGGAGCTTATTAGTAAACGAATGCTGAGATGAAAAATAATTCCCTCCTTTTTTAAATTTGATAATGAAAATTTGCCAGACGTTATTAGCTAATAATGTTCTGGCATGGAACACTTACTGCAGCCCTGGTATTTGATTCGTGTTTTTGTTTGACACGTAGGTAGGACCTTGTAGTTTTCTTAAGACTTTGTAAGACAGACACGAGCTGAGTCAACCAACACCCGCGAGAATAATCCACTCAATGATCTTCTCCCCTACGAAATGCCTTAGTAAACAAAATACTTTTTGCCAACTGTAATCTAACAGAGAGCTACGAATCCTAATTTGCTTGCTGAAAGAGTTTTTCGAAACTCAGTTGGGCACAATGGGAAGCATATTTTTCAGGGAGACAAATAATGACGAAAAAGAATTAAAAACTAACCTCCCTGGTGATATCTGATGTACAAGTGTAAAATAATATAAACCAAACAAAGAAAATTTTATTTGCAATTTTAAAATGCATTTTAACAATTCTATTGTGTTTCCGGTTGCATTAGAACTATTGGTTAAAGGAATAACATTTTATTATTTATATATTTCTAATTTTTCAGGTGTGATTCGGAGCATTTCATTTTAAGAAATACTTACAAACATTAGAAAGTGGTCATTATTGCAACTTCCATTTTATTGATTGTTTTAGTTTTGGTGTTGAGAAAGGAACGTTTTTGTTGCTTGTCGTAAATAAATTATTTAGAGAGTACACAATAATAATGAAGTACTAAGACTTAAACTGCTTACGAAATTAACCAACCTAGGTGGTGTTTTCAACTTTAGTCTTAAACGAGTTAAAACAGCTTTAATAAGTATATTTATTTACGTAGAACCACGGCTTCATGATGTTTGAAAGTCTCTCCAATTGACTTGACAAATCAAGACTAGAAATGTGAATATTTTTGCAACAACGGAAAACATCTTTTTGTTAAGCACAAAGCTACACAATCGGCTATCTGTGTTGTGCATTGAAGCCTGAATTTTAGCTTTATAAGTCTACAGACTTACACATGAGCACCTGGACAATGACAGCATCTTTGTTTTTGTTGTTGTTTTTTTCTGTAGACCATTTTCATGACCATTGAAAAAGATTATATATTAGGTTTACGTCGTGACTAATTTTCAATATATTTTCCCCTGTACATATCCTAAAATCAGTTGAAGGAAAGTAAGCTCTTCCTCGCATACAAACTTTATTCTATCTTACCATCTACTCTAATAATATAAAAATTTTATATAAAGCACAAGCTTAAACAGCTTAGACAACGATATTACATTTCCGATATTACATTAGAGCATGAGAAACGCAGATATTACAAAAAAAATATATACAACTAAGCCGCATTTATTATATGCTTATATCTTATACAAACACTGGAAATTTTAAATGAATATTTTTTAACTGCTCAGATAGTAATAATACGAAAACTGTTGCCTTGAACTAGTATAAAATAAAAAGTATCCTATTCGGTAATTTGAAAAAAAAAATGTTTAATAAATTTACTTCCTAGATATAAAACTAGAATTACGTTCATCTTTATGACTGCAAAGAATTTTCACTGCTATTACCGTTACATCTAGGATTTGAAAACGTGAGTTGAAATCTCATTACAAATGTTAATAACAATAATAACATTAAGCACGAACTTTAACTAATTATAACTTAGCTTTACCTCACAAAAACAACTGTATAATATAAAGAGATACGTTTTAAGCTACTTGCATTATGATTCGTTTAAAATAGTAAAAATAACTCATTAGTAATAATGGCTCTATTAAGAAATCTTGAAAACTGTTTGTCTTAATGAATTTGTCAGACAATTTATTCTAGGTTATATCTTAATTTCTTAGTATTAGAATATTACGTGATACAACCAACATACGAACTGTACATTTCAGTTCCAGCTATTATTATTATTTAAATTAACCATGCCGCATCTGAAAAGGAAAATATGCAGAAGCTCCTGTAATGTTGTGATTGGCTGTTTGTATTAGAGAAAGTCATAGAACAACGTAATTTATATTTGTATACAGGGAGTAAGTATCTCTATATACATAAGTACATTTACAACGACAGTAGTTTGCAGATTAAAATGCAATGTCTGATCAGTTGGGTACTTTCTCTGTTAACGATATATAGTGATTTCGTCACAGTTCCTTCTGTTATGTATCATCGTTAGTAGCAACAAAAACACAACAATAGCATGAGCTGTCACTTCTGTTGAACATTAAGATATACCTTTTAAACCGAGACTTCAACACTCAGAGAACAATGTGCAGGTGAAGAGCTATAGATTTTCTGGGGAAATCACATTGAAAAGATATAGTAAGTAATACAATTATAATTATTATTATCTAAATCTATTCATTTATGGATAAGGTCAAGGTTATATTTCTTTTGATTCAGGTTATTACTGTTATATAGTCAATTATAAATTCTGGCTTATTTTAAAGCCGTGATTTTTTGTTGTTGTTTTTTTCGCACCGAAATAACATTTGTAAGTACAAACATATTTGTGATAACAATACTTGCGAAAACAATTTTAATAGACGACTTTTTACATTCAATCTGCCTAAATGATTGCGCGTAATTAAATATTTCCAGTCGATTTGTTTAAAAATGTTTCTTATGACTACAATATAAATATTTCACGATATCCATCCATACGACATTAAACTAATGCCACTTTTGTCACACTTTATTATAGATATTTAGGCAGTCTTAGTCAAACACATTTGCAGTGAATATATTTAGGGTACCAGATATATAGTTTAATTCACACACACGTGCATGCAAGAAAACGTTAATTTGTGAGCCATATAATTGATTTCATATATATATATGGCTTCACCCATATCAATGAGCATAATATCTATAGTGAAACAAGATATATCTTATTACAGGCTTACATCCGAACTTCTTCTCTTAGTATTTCTCTTATTGAATATCATTACAAACCAACTCAAAGTTTACAAACTACAGATGAAGTTCAATTAGTTATCTAACAACTCTACTTAGAGTAGCAATTATTGGAAAAATACTCCATTTTTCAATTGAAGCTGTTACTTTTAATGCCAAATAGAAGCCATTTCATCTCCGGTGTTGGAACGTATTTGAATATTATGTAAGTTACAAATGCTATTGCCGACTGTGTGGTGTTCTCCAAAACCACGTGCTATGAACCAGTCTGTTTTGGACTTCTTACCATGCATACCATTATCATGAGAAGAGAATGGTATAGCAGTAAGCTACAAACAAACCCACAAACTCGTATTTAAAGAAGAGTTGGAAACTGAAAGATTATCATATAATTGATATCCTTGACTGTCTGTTTGTTTTTAATATACATAAGGGTCAAATTTACTCAGAAACAAAAAACTTGTGAAAAAGGAAGACAACAACAGTTTCCTCTGATCG